ACACCGATCGTCGGACGGGACCTCTGTACGAGGTCCCGATCATGTGATCACTGATTGGCCAATCAGTGATCACATGCAAAGTAGTAAGCAAGATGTCACTTGTGACATCATTGCTTACTATGTGTGAAATCTGTGAATGATCACAGAGGTCACATGGTACAAGGCTATTCACAAAAGCCTTGTACCATGTGACAAGCTGTGACCAATCACAGCTCACTCTGTATTTCTCAATGAGTGCAGGAATGCACACAGAGAGAAAGAGAAATGATTGCTTTTACATCCTATATGGGTGTAAAAGCAATCAGTGTAAAAAAAAAAAAAAAAAAATCTTTATCACCCCTCACAAGTAGTACAGTGTCACCATGGTGACACTGTACTGCTAGGGTGACAGTATGTAAAAAAAAAAAAATAAAAAAAAAAAATAATAATATAAAAAAAATAAAATAAAAATGTAAAAAAAAAGTTTAAAAAATTATAATTTTTGCTTATAAACTAATTTTTTTTTTTTTTTTTTTTTACTAAAAAGATAACGGAATAAATTTTGGCTAAGATTTATGATGAAATATTATTTATTTGCAAAATTTTATAAAAAAAAACACATTAAAATTTTTTGGACATTTCATTTACATAGCAAAAAAAAATACAAATCCCAGTGGTGAATAAATACCACCAAAATAAAGCTTTATCTATCTAAAAAAAATGATAAAAAATTCATTTGGGTACAGTGTTGCATGACCGCGCAATTGTCATTCAAAGTGTGATAGCGCTAAAAGCTGAAAATTGCCCTGGTCAGGAAGGGGGTAAAAGTGTCCGGTCTGGAAGTGGTTAAAAAAGAAATTGAAAAAAATTAATTATTATTTTTTTTTTTTTTACATACTGTCACCAGTCAGTGACCCTGATCATTGTGAAACCAGTTATATGATGATGCTGTACTGTACTAGTGACAATATGTAAAAAAAAAAATAACTTTTTTACATTTCTTAATTTTCAAAAAAAAGTGACAAATTGCAACTTCGAAAAACCTGCCATGCCTCTTACTAAATATCTTGCACTGTCTGCTTTCCAAAAAGGGGTCATTTGGGGGATATTTGTACTGTCCTGGCTTTTTCAGGCCTCAAGAAATGAGATATATACACCATAGTTTGTGGACTATAACTTTCCTGCAGACTAAATAATATACACTGATTTGGGTTATTTTCACCAAAGAAATGTAGCAGAATACATTTTAACCTAAATTTATGAAGGATTATTTATTTGTAAAATTTAGAAAAATTTGTTTTTTCCCCAAAATGTTGTCTTTTTTCATTTATTTAGCAAAGAATAAAAATCACACTGACTATATAACCCCAAAAGGAAGCTCTATTTGTGTGCAAGAAATGATAAAAAAAATGTCATATGGGTACAGTGTTGCATGACTGTGCAATTGTCATTCAAAGTGGGACAGCGCTGAAAGATGAAAATTGGCATTGGCAGGAAGGGGGTGGAAATGCCCGGTGTTGAAGCGGTTAAATACTGTTAATTCGCCACCATTCCACAAGTGTGTACAATTTAAAAGCATGACATGCAAGGCAACTATTTACTTGTGATATAATTATACCCTGCGCTACGTTTTTTTAAATTAAATTATTGCAGAAGCTGCCTGCGCCTGTGAGTGTCAGCAGAGGGTACCCCTGATGATACTATATGCAAGTAACCAGTGATATGGGCTACTATACACACAGATATACCATTACTAGATCTATGCAACCAATAACATCTGTGAAATCAATACAACATGCTATATGCAAATGCACCAGGGGTAGTGCAGATCGTTTTTTCCAAGCCAAAGCCTTATCTCAACTGTCCACAGATCATTGCTCCCAGAGCAGAAAAGTGTTTTTATGCTGGTTTATAACATGATCAACATATTGCTCTGGTGAGTTTATTCAGTTTATTCGGTGGTGGATTTTGTTTGAATTTCTTTCATCATTATCACTTTATATTTTTTTGGACTTTATATGATTGATATGACTTTGTTTTTTTGGGGGGTTTATATGATTAATATGATCTAGATTTATTTGTTCACGGACATCTATTATATTTTTTTACTAGCGCAGTTTGAAATTTTTTTTTGTGTTTATATGCACCTTATTATAGGGCAGATTTTGCAGCTGGTATTATTGACATAGAAATTGACTGTAATTATTACTAATATTGTTCTGGCGCCACCTATATTTATTTAGTCAAAAGTATTGGGATGCCTGCCTTTACAGGTACATGAACTTTAAAGGCATTCTAGTGTTAGTCCATAGGGTTCAATATTGAGTTGGCCCACCCCTTGCAGCTATAACAACTCTTCTGGGAAGGCTGTCCACAAGGTTTAGGAGTGTGTCTATGGGAATGTTTGACCATTCTTCCAGAAGCGCATTTGTGAGGTCAGGCTCTGATGTCAGACAAGAAGGTTTGGCTCGTAGTATACGCTCTAATTCATCCCATAGGTGTTCTATCGGGTTGAGGTCAGGACTCTGTGCAGGCCGGTCAAGTTCCTCCACCCCAGACTTGCTCATCCATGCCTTTATGGACCTTGCTTTGTGCACTGGTGCACAGTCATGTTGGAATAGGAAGGGGAAATCCCAAACTGTTCTCACAAAGTTGGGAGCATGAAATTGTCCAAAATGTCTTGGTATGATGATGTCTTAAGAGTTCCCTTCACTGGAACTAAGGGGCCAAGCCCAACCCCTGAAAAACAACCCCACACCATAATCCCCCCTCCACCAAACTGTACACTTGGCACAATGCATTCAGGCAAGTACCGTTCTCCTGGCAGCCCCCAAACACAGACACGGCCATTGGATTGTGATGGATTTGGTAAAATGCCTATTTTGTTTCCTATTGAATATTATATACACTTTTTTATACACATTTTTATACATATTTACTTTTATACTTTAATACTATTTCTTTCTTCATATTTATAAATGTTTAGCATGAATATATATGTTGTGTGAATATTTTCTGCCTGCTGGGCTTTGTGGTACTTTAAGAAATCCTTGCTTAAGAAATGTCTGCTCACACGCACCGACCCCCTCCCATCGTGTGATTTCGGAAACAAAGGAACGTTTTTCTTTCTATAAGACTTGGAAGAAGATCACACCTATACCATGACGGAGATTGTTTTCGTGTAAAGTGACCAATCAAAGACTAATATAATGCTTATGCTGTTATCACGTGATGTTCGCATCATTTTTTCATATATAAACTCATGGTTTCATTTCAATAAATTAGAAGTTTTCACAGACCAAACGTGTCAGTGTGAGTTTCTTTATGTGCGCACATTCCAGAGCAAACCAGCATCATAAATTAGGACAGGAGCAGATAAGCACTGGACAATTCAGTCCTCAACTAAATCAGGATTACCAGACAGAGAAGCATGATTAGTCACTCCAGAGAACATGTCTCCATGGCTCTAGGGTCCAGTGGCAGCATGCTTTACACCACTGCATCTGACGCTTTGTATGGCACTTTGTGATGTAAGGCTTGGATGCAGTTGCTCGGCCATGGAAACCCATTCCATGAAGTTCTCTATGCACTGTTGGTTGTGCTAATCTGAAGGCCACATGAAGTGTGGAGGTCTTTAGCTATTGACTCTACAGACAGTTTACGAATTTCTGTGCACTGTGCGCTTCAGCATGTGCTGACCCCGCTCTGCCATTTTATGTGGCCTACCACTTTGTGGCTGAGTTGCTGTTGTTCCCAGTTGCTTCCACTTTGTTATAATACAACTAAAATATGACTATGGAATATTTAATAGCAAGGAAATGTCATGGATGGACTTATTGCATAGGTAACAACCTATCACAGTACCACGCTTGAATTCACTGAGCTCCTGAGAGCGACCCATTCTTTCACAAATGTTTATAAAAGCCGTCTGCATTGCTATGGAGGCGATTGGAACACCTGAATCCAATGATTTGGCGTGGTGTCCCAATACTTTTGGCAATATAGTATATATTCTATTTGTGTCCTATTGTTCTATTCTGCTTTACTCTCCCCTGCCATGCATTGCATATGTATAGAATAAAGTCTCCACACACTCTCAGCGCTCCAACACGCTCACTCCTAACCACGTGCTGCTCAGGTCATATGGAAACTATTCGCGTCTTTTAGACTGGACCACAGAGTGTCCTCTACCGGAAGTATTTAATAAAGTGTCGCAGTCCTCTATCAATACTTTGTATATAGTGGCGGCCATTTTTCTGGAGACATTTTCCGCACGTAAAATGAAGACAAATGTTGGCGATTACGCTTGGACTGGACCATAGCTCACTGACTGCACGGGGGTGTGTTGGCTGTAATGTCCGACACACAATAGTCCAGTGGTTTCACGTCCATAGATATTAGTGTGGGCTGCGGTCACACGTTCCCATTATTACCCTGGAATTCTGCTCTAGCACACCACAGAACACAGCCCGCTACCACTATCAGCTCAAACTGCCGTTCCTCCGCCTCCACCCGGACAGGGATAAGTGCAGCCAGTCACGGCTACACAACACCGTACATTTCAATATTAAAGCTCGGCATTCAAACACTAGAAGAAACACGACGCATTGATTGCATTCTACGAGCACCCCCCTCTCCGGGACTGTACCAAGTGCGCGTTACTCATGCCTCAATGGATTCTGGGATGGCTGGACCTGACCCAAGAGACGCCAGAGGGGTGTTTGAATGAGCTTTTAAGGTTTTAGTAACTCTTACGGCTACAATGTCCCCTATGTGACTCCCCAGGCCGCTCGTAGTACGTTGCTGTATATAAGGGTTAGTGAACGCCCGTATGCGAGGCATGAATAACTGAAGCTGGAGGCGGGAGTATAGTTCTCTCCCCTGTCATTGTTGTACGTGGTACAGTCCGGGAGTCTGGCAGTGTCTCGGCGCGGGGAAGGTGATCTGCTCCAGCCGTTATTCCTCCGGTGTTGTGTCCGCTCGGTGTGTAGGTGTGTGCGGTGCTCGGCCTCTGCGGTGACATGTCGGTGGCCTTTGCAGCTCCCCGGCAGCGGGGGAAGGGGGAGATAACCCCGGCTGCCATCCAGAAGGTGAGACACAAAAAAGGGACGATCGTTATAGGGAGAGGTGGGTGTCCTGACGGGTAATGGGGCATGGGAGGCCGGCCTGGATAGAGAGGAGGCATGAACAAGGGGGGATGGGTTCATCTGAGCGTGTCTGTTTATACTGGGAGTAGATTTCCCAGCTTTATTTATCTCTGGTGAACAATAGTGAGCTCCTCAGACCAGCCTGTCCCCTCCAGCCAAAGTCATACAAACACAGGCTACACAAGGGCCCCAAAGTGTGAGACCAATCCAGGCTTCTGGGCTCCATCATCCTGACCCCTGCTCCTAAGCTTCACACCTGAGCGTAGCGGGAACTCACGCTCCCACTTGCGGGGGTTTTCAAGCCTTTTTTCTTGTACATAGGGCAGGCGTCCCCTTGAATGGTCTGCTCTACACTCAACAAACGTCCCAGATAGGGTTGCCACTTCGTCCCTTTAAACCCGAGCACATATTAATGACACAGGTTCTGAGGATAATTTAACATCTTCTTGCCCGGCCTATAACAGATTGACGGCCGGGCAGGACACTCACCGTTGTGACTGGGCGTCATATGACTTTCTGTCAAAACGAGCCGCTCTCGGGGCCGCACAGCGGCGCCATCTGTAACTGGCTGTGTCCATGGGATACAGCCAATGACACATCACTGCACCAGCCCATTGCCAGTGTCATGTGACCAATCACAGCAGATCACATGTCGATTGTATACAATGGATGGCTTCCTGTCATGCCATCCATTGTATACAATTATTTTGTTAGCTGTGACTGGTCAAGGCAGTCACATGATACAGACAGGGCCAATCACAGCCCATCTGTATCATGTGATCAGATTTGCCCAATCACAGCTATTCACAATAAAAGACTGAATGAATCAGTTTCATTCAGTAACAATGATTGCAAATATCAATGAAATTCATTGGTATTAGCAATCATAATGTGTTAAAAAAAATACTGATCACTTACCCTGAGTAGTTCAATGTTACTATGGTAACATTGTATTGCTTTGGTCATAGTGTGCTGAAAAATAAAATAGCAAAAAAAGTAATAAAAAATAGAAATATTTGAAAAAAAATACAAATGAAATTATTATTATTGTTTTCACCAAAGAAATGTAGCAGAATACATTTTGACCTAAATTTATGAAGAAATGTTATTTATTTGCAAAATTTTATAACCGCAATGAAGAAAAGTGTGTTTTGTGTGTGGTTTTTTTTTTTTTTTTTCAAAAGTTTCAGTTTTTTTTTTTTTCATTTAGCAAAAAAATAAAAAACTCAGTGGTGATTAAATACCACCAAAAGAAAGCTCTATTTGTGTGAAAAAAAATGATAAAAATTTCATATGGGTACAGTGTTGCATGACCGTGCAATTGTCATTCAAAATGCGACAGCCCTGAAAGCTGACAATTGGCCTGGGCAGGAAGGGGGTATAAGTTTTACAGGACAATTATGACAAAAAAAATTACACCGTCAAAAAACTCCCCATGCCTCTTATGAAATACATCGGACTGTGCAAAAAAAGGGTCAGAAATGTAGCAAAATGCATCTTGGCCTAAATTTATGAATAACAATTATTTATATTTTAAACTTTTATAACAGAAACAAAGAAAAATATTTTTGTTTTTTTTTTTTTTCAAAATTGTTGGTCTTTTTTTGTTCATTTAGCAAAAAATAACCCCAGCAGTGATTAAATACCACCAAAAGAAAGCTCTAGTTGTGTGAACAAAATGATAAAATTTTAGTTTGGGTACAGTGTTGCATGACCGCGCAATTGTCATTCAAATTGCGACAGCTCTGAAAGCTGAAAATTGGCCTGGGCAATATATAAGTGGGCGGTATAAGTGCCCGGTATTGAAGTGGTTAATGTAGGTAAGGCACTACAGTGGTGTAGACATTTTTTTAAAAAAAACTGCTTGTCCAGGGACTAAATCGGTGCCCCAATCTACTACTTTTCCCTCATGACAATCTACTTCTGATTAAAAAATGTTTTTTTTTTTTTTTTCAACCAAAACCGTATTTAAATTTGAGGTGCTTTAAGTAATGTCTGGGGCTTTTAAAAACAAAAGGCACTTTTGGCGACTTAAACATTTTAATATTTTTAATATTGCACTGTTTATCTCCTCCTCCCCTTCCTGCCTGTCTCCAGCACAGAACCCAGGGACTGGCAGGGAGGAGAGAGACCTTGCAGTGTAATGAGCAGTGATTGGGTGCTCCTCAGGAAAGGGGAGTGTCAGGCTTATCCTTTTATCCCTTTCACTGCCAGAGCTGTTTTTGCATTTTTTGCACAAGTTTACAAAATCATTTAAGGCCTGAAGATTATACAAAACCACCGAACATAATATATTTTCTGAAAGCTTAGACCCTAGAGAATAAAATAGTGCTAGTTCTAATTTTTTATGTCACACAATATTACCACAATGGTCTAGGAAATGCAAAGTTTCAGTAAAAAAAAAATACACAAGGTAATTTTAGGGCACAAAAAGCAATAAATGATCCAATTGTTTTGTAAAATATAAGACAAAGTTGCATCAAGTAAATAGATATCCAACATGTCAAACCATAAATTTGCGTGCGCTCGTGGAATGGCAACAAAGTTTAGTACACTATATTTTTTTTTATAGGTGATGCTTTTAAAGCTCCTTATAAGTCATCAGTTTAGTGTTACAGAGAAGGTTTGGTGCTAGAATTATTGCCCTCTTTCTGGCGTGTGCGGTGATATGTAACATGTATCAAAATCATCGTTTTCATGCGTAGGCGCCCCAGCGCATGCTTTTATGTTTGTACATGCGTACCTATGTTGGGGGGGCTCAAAACATTTGGGGGGGTAGTTTAACCACTTCAAGTCCGGACACTTTTACCCCCTTCCTGTCCAGGCCAATTTTCAGCTTTCAGAGCTGTCACACTTTGAATGACAATTGCGTGGTCATGCAACACTGAACCCATATGAATTTTTTTGATTTTTTGAGACCGTTAAAACTTTATTTTGGTGGTATTTATTTACCACTGGGTTTTTTTTGCTATATAAATGAAAAAAGCCAAAAATTTTGAAAAAAAGTGTTTTTCTTATACAATTTTGCAAATATCTTTCTTCATTAATCTTGGACAAAATGTGTTCAGCTATCTTTTTAGTAAAAAAAACCCCAAATTTAGTTAATAACCAAAAATTGTAAATTTTCAAAAAACATTTTTTTTTTTTATGTTTTTTTTTAACATACTGTCACCCTAGCAGTACAGGGACATATTTCCTACTGTGCATGGGAAGGGGTTATACAGGAGAAGAGACATGCAGAGTTTTATCTACAAGAACAAAAAAACCTAACCTTTAAAAGAGAAGTATGGTCTTTCTATAATAAAATAAAGTTACACTCCCCGAGGTGAATTGATCCGATGCTGCAACTGTACCCTGCTGGTTCTGCACTGAGAACTGACCGATCAAACGCCACTGATCACTTAGTTCTCCCCCTCTGTTCTGAGCAGAGAGCCATGACTGTCAGTCTCAAGCTCTGCCCCTCCAGTGCTCTCTAGAGTGCCGGGCTGTGGACGAGCAGGAGGGGGCGGCTCGAGCTCTTGGTGGATGTCTGAGAAGTTCAGCTAGCTGCCGGTCCAGTCTAGGTGGATGACGATCATATGGTCAGGATCTTTTCAGAGCCTGGACTGTCTCTACCTGCTGTTGGCTGAAAACAGGTTACAGGAGTGCAGAGCAAACTGCACTCCTGTGATCCATAGAAGTATAGCCGAAATAGCTTTTGCTTTACTTCTCCTTTAAGTCTAGGTTCACACATTTGCAGTTGGTGCAGCTTGCGTTTGTGTGGGCACAGCAGCCTATTTATTTGAATGGGAAAACGCAGGGGAAAAAGTCCTCAACCCCCTTTTTAAAAATACGACTGCATAGAACCACATGGTGCTTTTGCACCATGCAATTTCCTGCACCCAAAAGCGCATGTTGGTGTGCCTTAGGCTAGATTCATATTATTGTGTTGGGGGGTTTGCTGTGCCCACACAAAATACACTGCTGTTTAGGAAAGACATGAGGGTGGCATTCATTTTTAATGGCACCCCCACACACTGGAAACCCTGATGAATTTTGCTATGCGCGGAAACATATGGTGCCGAAGCACCAAGCGGTTTCTGTGTGGCCGCAGTTTCAGAAAGGGTCAGAAACCTTTTCTCTGTGTTTCCTGTAGGTACAGTATCCATTGCTCAAAAGATACAATTCAAAACATTAATAACATATAAAGCCATTTATAACTCTGCCCCATATTACATCACCAATCTTGTCTCCAAATATCACCCAAACCGTACTCTCCTCTCCTCACACGACCTCCTGCTCTCTAGCTCCCTTGTCTCCTCCTCCCATGCTCGTCTCCAGGACTTCTCCAGAGCTTCCCCCATCCTCTGGAATTCTCTACCCCAATTTATCAGACTATCGCCTACTCTGCTCACTTTTAGTCGATCTCTGAAAACCTATCTCTTCAGGGAACCCTATCCTGCTGTCAGCTAATAATGGAATCTTCTACTCTTCCTACCAGTCCATCCCCCACAGTTACTACCTTTTTCACCACTAGCCCCTCCCTTCTAGATTGTAAGCTCCAAGGTTCATTGCCCTCCTATTCCTCTTGTATTGAACTGTATTGTTGCTGTATTGTCTCCCATTATATTGTATAGCGGTGAGAAAACTATTGGCGCTATATAAATCCTGTATAATAATATTAAAATGATTGAAAGGATCCTTAAGAAGGGTACACATGGTCCAAACATCAGCCAGTTTAGCAGGAACTGACCGACGTTCAGACCATGTTTACAGCTGTCCTTCCAACAGAATCCAGTCTAAGGGACATGCTGGAAAACCAGCATGCAATCAGTGCTAGCAGCCAGTGGTTTGTTCTGGTGGATGGTGGGGGAGAGGCAGGAGAGTCCTCCTGTCAACACAAAGGCACAGCAGGAGAGATTGTTTCTGTTAGTACAGCAATTTTTTGTGTGGTGTTTTTGTTTTTTGTTTTTTTTCGCTCAGCCCCGTTGGGCTGGAAAAAAGAAAACTGAATGTGTGTACCGGGTATCGGGCCTTATTCACACAGGAGTATCTATCTGTACTCTTGTGTGAAGGGCCATCTTTGCCTGCATGGGATGCATTGAAGCTCCAATTAATGCTGTGTAGGACAGATGCCTGTATCCCAACACAGTTGAAAAAACAAATTTGTCAACAGACTCTTTATTGCAGAGCTCTCCTCCTCCTTCACATTTTGGTACTTTATTTGGGGAGGTTCTTGCTTTTTGACAGGTACCTGCTCCCCGACCTACGGTCAGATTGCTGTGGCGATGCCTGCGGAAGTTGCCCCCTTCCCCCGCAGCCTTCTGGAACATGTCACAGGTCCCAGTAAGCTGCGGGACCATTCAGAGAGTTCAGCGAGCAGCTGGCTCTGAAGCTGCAAGCATTCATTAAGTGTTTGAAGTGTTTGTAAATGCTCAAGGTTTTTTACTTCCATGCATTCTATGCATGAAGGTAATAAACCTTCTCTGTGCAGCAGCCCCCCCAATAACCAGCCAAGTCCCCTTTCGATCCTGTGATGTGCACTCAAGTCTCGGCTATCCTGGGACTCCCTCTCCTCATTCGCTGAAACAGCAGTGGGAGCCATTTGCTCCCGCTGCTGTCCATCACAGCCAATGAGCCAATGAAGAGAGAGGGGCGGGGTCAAGCCGAGGCTCCGTGTGTGAATGGACACATGGAGCAGCAGGTGCCCCCATAGCAAGTTGCTTGCTGTGGGGGCACCCAACAGGAGGGAATGGCTAGGTGAGCCTGCGGGGGACCTGAGAAGAGGAGGACCTGGGCTTCTCTGTGCAACACCACTGCACACAGCAGGTAAGTATAACATGTTTTTTATTTGTAGATAAAAAAAATTTGAGCCTTTAGTATCGCTTTAATTCATGTATGAAGTTTTGACTATCTTCTGGAGTATGTGTAGTGACAATTGGGGGTGCTTGATCTTGTATTACTCCCCCCCCCCCCCCTTTTTTGTATTGTTTCCCCAGTAAATATGTGTGGCTGCTCAGGTTAACCTCCCTGGAGGTATTCCCGAGTTTAGCTTGGGGTAAAGTTTCAGCACCACAAGCGGTAACCCCGAGCTACACTCAGGAATACCCTGCAGCGTTGCTCCGGGATTCCTTTTGCACTTACCTTGTCCTGCGCTCCTGCGATGTCCCCCCGTGCAGTGTCCCCGGCCGATGCCGGCATCTGTCTTCTGGGTTCCGTTCCCTGCAACGTCAGGACATTCGGGGGATGGAACTGGCGGGAAATTTAAAAATGTCAAAAAATGACATTCACTAAATACAGTAAAATTAAATCGTAAAACATTACTGTATCCAAGCATTTCACATACATTTTGTCCCTAGTGCTTTGTCCTGTGCCCTGCCTGCATTTTTACTGTTCTTTCTGCCTGGAAACTGAGAAACGTCCATGGCGTCCAAAAAGCGTCCCTTTTAGGTCAAACGCGATAGTAAATTAGAACTACTTGCAGAATTGAGTGATAATGATTCGTGGGGAAATTCGTTATCAGACAATGAAAATGATTTTGCAACTTTGCTCAGTGATGTGCGAATTTGGTGCTATATTTCAAATTTGTGTGTTTGGTTTGATTATGTTATTGAATTAAAATTATTATTATTTAATTTTTTATGATTATTTATTAAATTATAATTTATGATTTCGTGTTTCAAATTTTAACATACCCGGGATGTTTACTAGACTCTTGTTCGGACAGATTTCAGTGAGTTATTCCTAAAAATTACAGACCTACAATAAAAAAAAACTACATATTTCCATGCAAAAAAATGTACCGCTTTGAGCATAGAAATACTGACATAATCAGACCGCTAGAGAGGCTACGGGCCCATTCACACTTATACATTGTAGTAGAGTATGCTTCTGTGCATTGCATTGTCTTTATTTTGGCTATAGTACTGGGCAGCCTACCCTTGCTGCAACTATCAACGCTTGCAATGTATCACAATGCATGACAATGTGCAGCATTGGAAAACGTATCAGTTTTTGTCTGATCTATGGTCTGTTGGCCGCTCATTTAAGGTATACTGTCTTGATGTAAAGCACATTAACCACTTGCCGCCCAGCCACTGTAGAAATACGGCGGCAGGGTGGCATGGCTGGGCAAAAGCACGTTTTAAAATGCGCTTTTGCAAAACAGGTAGGGGGCGTGCACAAGGCGCGCCGCCACTCTACCTGCACCACCGATCCCTGCCGCGGGTTGTCAGTCGCCGGGTCACGGCCGGTCATTACCAGCTGTGTCCCGCCGATTAGCGGCAATCACTGACAGAGAGCAGGGCTGCAGTAGCTCTACTTTCTGTCAGTTCCCTGACAGCTCCTGACATGCTGATCGGAAGAGAAGAGTTTATCTCTCCTGATCAGCGTGTCCCATGCAGTACACACCCCCGCCCCCCCCTAGTAAAACACTTCCCTCACACAGTTAACCCTTTCAGTGAATAAAAAAGTTAACCCCTTCCTCCCCAGTGCCATTAGTACAGTGTCAGTGGTTTTTGTTTTTTTTTGCACTGATCACTGTATTGGTGTCACTGGGGATGTCAGCGACCCCAAGTTAGTTCCCCCCCAGTGTCAGAATGTCCGCCGCAGTCCTGCCATAAGTCGCTGATCGCCGCCATTATTAGAATTAAAAAAAAAAAATTAAAAATCCGAGTATCTTTCCCGCCATTTGTAAACGCTATAATTTTCACGTAAACCAATTAATTTACACGTATTTTTTTTTTTTTTTAGCGAAGACATGTTGCAGAATGCATTTTGGCCGAAATTTATGACGAAATTTTTGATTTTTACATTTTTTTTTTTTTTTTTTTTTTACTGGACATGTTTTATAGCAAAAAGTCCAAAATACTGTTTTTTTTTTTTTTCAAAATTGTCAGCCTTTTTTTTTTTTTTTTTTTTCTTTTATAGCGCAAAAAATAAAAACCGCACGGGGCGATCAAATACCACCGAAAGAAAGCTCTATTTGTGTGAAAAAAAGGACATAAATTTCAGTTATGTACAGTATTGCATGACCGCGCAATTGTCCATTAAACTAGCGCAGCGCTATATAGCAAAAAATGGCGTAAATTGCAGTATCTATACCATAGTTTGTAGACGCTATAACTTTCACACAAAGCAATCAATATACGCTTATTGGGATTTTTTTTACCAAAAACATGTAGCAGAATACATTTTGGCCTAAATTTATAACTAACTTTGAGTTTACTATATATTTTTTTATAGCTGAAAGTAAAAAATATAGTTTTTCTTAAAAATTTTTGGTCTTTTTTTTGTTAATAGCGTGAAAAATAAAAAGCGCACAGGTGATCAAATACCCCCAAAAGAAAGCTCTTATTTGTGTGAAAAAAAGGATGTAAATTTCGTTTGGGTGCAGCATTGCATGACCGCGCAATTATCAGTTGAATTAGTGCAGTGCAGAGTAGCAAAAAGAGGCCTGGTCATTAAGGGGGGTAAATCCTCAGGAGGGCAAGTGGTTAACTTGTCACAATATGCAGCAACACAGCGTTGAGGTGTAAATTGACCCTAAAAGTATTTGCAAAGTGTTTTTCAAGATATCACATAGGTTATAATGTTTTTTTTTTTTTTCCCATGTATGTTTCTAGATGTTAAATTTACAAGTTTGCTTTCTTTACAGATGTTGGATGAAAATAATCATTTAATTCAATGTATTATGGACTATCAGAACAAAGGAAAAACTTCTGAATGTTCACAGTAAGTAAAATGAAACAATCCTGTATTATAACAGTAACCTTTTTTTGCCACTCCTTTCTTCTTTAAAGGAAAAGCTCGCCTTTAGAATATGTAACATGTTCCCAAAGCTGTGCCCTCTCCCTCCCTCTGACAGTACGGGGAGAAATATCCCCGTACTATCTGCCTGATTTGCAAACTGCATGGCTGTGTGGGGCTCCACCCACGCGGCTGCATCACTCATTCACAGAGTTCTGTAAATGAGTGCCTACAAGTCCCGGCAGCTTTAGTGGATGTCGGCTTGTAGTCTTTAATGAACTACCATGGCGCTGTGAAGCGTTGTGGTAGTTCATTGAATCTTCCTGTCAGAATATCTGCTTGACCGTACATCCCGTACGCCAAGCAGATATTCTGACAGGTCTGCAGGAGACCTGCATGGCATCAGCGGTCTACTGATCGCTGGTGCAATGCTTTACAGGCTCCTTTGGACAAAAATAATAAATGCACATTATTTTTTTTTTTTTTACCTGCAAAAAAAGTGCATTTATTATTTTTGTCCAAAAAGGTAACTTACCCTTTAAGACTCTTCTCTACATTGAGATTTTTTTCCATTGCAGCCATGGCTTTCTTCAACCTGGCTTTTGAACTACAGGATCAGCCTGTTGATTCTATCAGTGTGACCTCCCACACATGGTTCCTTTAGAGCCCTTAAGGCCACAAAAATTTCCCATTTCAACTGTTCTAACTTTTTCTCTACAGATATACACCCTGACAAGCTGCTTGCTTCCTCTCAAGCACTTATTAGTTTTGGACCTATTTGGGGAGGATTCTATACAAAGGTGGTGTACACCCACTTCGGATCTGATAGTGTCAAGTCTTAATAAAGAGTACCATACCAGTGAATGATGCACCCAGGGCCTGAGCAATAAGCAGTTTTAAGCTCTTTCTAAACTCTGTTCTCCCTGGCCGGACCTGCTCCCATTTTAGCTCTGACATCACTGTGCCAAACCATGAATGATTGGTTAAAATCCTTTAAATGAGATCTTGCTACTACTGCAGTTGGTCTTTTGTGTATAGAAAACATAGAGCAAATGGCTGTAGCTTTGAACTTCGGTTGTGACTGTTGCTAACTTTCCTGGAATTATTTCTTATACTTTTGTCAGTACATATGCATAGGACCCTTTGAATAAAGCATTGATCTGTGAAAACGCTTTCAATATGTCTGATTCTTACAGCCTTTGAGAGACTTTACTAAAGGTAAATATACTGTGCACTGCAATTGCAAGTGCAGTTGCTTTATATCCAAGGGGAAGCTCTAAAATGAGGCTAAGCGCTGCAGATTTCTTTCATCCAGTCGTGCAAACAAAAATGCTGTGTTTTTATTTTCCTTGCACGTTCCCCTCAAATCTAGAGCAACTGCACTTTCAGTGTACTTCCAAGTGCACAGCCTATTTGCCTTTAGTAAATCAACCCCTACGTCTCTTCAAATCTTCTTTTGATACCATTATCAAAGATATTGCTGTTGGCAATATCACGTTTTTGGCCTTTCTATCTCTAAAGAAAACAAATCTATTTTATTTCTCTACTGCAACCACTCCCTCCACGTCCAGACCCCTAATCTTGGCTCCTAGTCCCCCTTCAAAGTCTGGGACTTAGTTTGCCAAAGCCTCAGACATTATATCTGCTGCAGGTGAAGGTGTGCCCTCATTTTCCAGTTCTCTGGCAAAATGGTTTCAAGGATTTCACTCCTGTCTGTTCACTGTTCTCAAACGCAAAAGAGAGCTTGTACCCCATTGCTGATCTCAGAGCTCTGAATGTCTTTCATCATTTCCTTCACCAGGGACACTTTCTAGTTTCTGTGGACATTAAGGATGTGTACCTGTATGTCCCATTTTTCCAGTTCATCAACTTGCCCAATGCATTGCTTTGGTGCCGCTATACTCTATATACTATGGCTTCATACACAAAGGTGCTGGTCTCATTATTAGCCCTGCTATGCTCTCATGGCATACCCATTGTGGGATACTTACTTAGACAGGCCATAAACTAGCAGATTTTCAGCCAAAAACATTTGTATTAAATTCTTTGTACATTCGATAAATTGACAAATTTTGAAAATTTCACTTGCTTTTAACATTTGATTTAAAAATTAATGTAATTCCGGAACTAAAGCCACATACACGGTCTGAAAATTTGTTAGTTCGAGAAAAATTTTCCAACCTGCACCTTCAAATTTTTTTTCTGGTAATTGAAAACGAATGTCAATTTGACCCCACTAATGATTAGAAAATTAAATGAGTGCTCCTAAAACTAACACATTATATTTTTTTTTTTTTGTACTAAAATCTATGTGTATGGCCAGCATTACATGACCTCCTGTTGATGGACCCAGTCAGAGTAGGCTTTGTTGGAACAATGTGATTTTGGCTGTCCGGACATGACATTGATTTGGATGGTTCCTGAACCTTCAGGAGCTCATTGTTAAAAGTGTCTGGGACTAGTCCTAGATACAACTTAGACCAGTGTAGCAGTGTGTTTCTCCACTGGAGGAACTTCAGATGTCCCAGATTCAAACTCTCCAGTCCAGGGGGAGTCTGATTCTCCACTTTTGCTTGAAAGTCTTGGACCTGATGTTAGTGTCCTTTGAAGCAGTTAGTTTGCCCAACTTCCCTCAAACTCTACAATGCAACATTCTCTCTTCATGGGACAAATGGAAGTACCAATTTGACACCGAGGATCAGATTGTCTTTGGCCTGGTGGCTAAGGAATCTATTCTGCAATTGGGTAAGTCCTTTCTTCCCATCATCTGGAAGAGCCTTGCAACAGATGGCAGTATGTTGGGCTAGAGAGGCATCCTGGTGGGGTGGAGTAATTGGGGCTGGGGTGTCAGTTCAGAACACTTGGTCATCGGAGGAGTCTTGTCCCCTGATCAACACTCCGGAGCTTCAGGCAATCTGGCTGCCTCTGCAGCACGGGATGATCCTGGTGGAAAGTTATTGATTCAGATTCAGTGAGACAACACTGCAGTGGGGAAATACATCAGTCCTTAAGGTACGAACACAGCAGGGGAGAAGGGATAAATTGGATCCTGTCCTGGACATGTCCTGCTTTGTACATCCAAAATGTAAACAACTGGAAGGCAAACTTCCTGAACACATGCCTGGACCTGTGCAGTTGCCCCATACTTGGATGTGTGGCAGGACCTATGTCACAGCTTTTCCTGTTAAGGCTCGTTCTACTTGATCTGTGATTGATGCCAAAAAACCCAAGAGTCTATTAACTGCTTTCCAAATTTGCATGGCTATCTCCAGTCTTTTGTTCACATGTTCTCAGTTATACCAGCTGGCTGTTGCAGCCTCATCTGATGTTTGCTTCCTTCAGGTGATCCTTGAGCAGCAGGCAGTCCCCAGTTATCTAATATATTTTTTTTATTTTTTCCCTTCAGTTGGACTACTCAAAGTTGGAGACTTTGTGTGTCCTTTTAGTGACTGAACAAGGAACAGATTTTTGTACTCGCCATAAAATCTTTTTTTTTTAAATTCCATCCCTGTTAATTTTGCTCCCAGTACCGCTTTTATTTATTTATTACAGGTACTTATATAGCGCTGTCAATTTACGCAGCGCTTTTACATATATATATATATATATATATATATATATTATTGTACATTCATATCCGTCCCTAACCCTCAAGGGGCGTACAGTCTAAGCTTTTCTACAAAAGCAAGGAATCCTGGTAGTAGGCTGGGTTGTCCTGGCCTATAGGTTTTGTTTGCCAGTCCATTTGTTGTTCACTCCTTCTTTAGGCGATAGTATAACCCACAGGGGCAGACTTCCTGTTTTTAAAGAAAAGGATTTGGGAAGTACAAAAATCCTATTGTAAAAGTCTATGTTCTTGGATCTTCCTTGTCCAGAAACTTGTGCCTTCTGCTTTGGCAGGCCATGGATGATGCAACTCCATCCAGCTGTTACTCCCACAGTCTGTATTATACACTGAAATGTGTAGGTGTGTTGTCCTCATCAGGTTTCAAAGTAAGAAATGCAGAGCTGCAGAAGTGGTAACCACTAAGCTACTGATGTCTGCCACTGCTCTATGGAGAGACAAGTAGCACTGAGTGCACAGTAACACGCTTAGTGAATTAAAAACATATTTCAATAAAATACACATCTAAATTGAAATACCATCAATGGCAACAAAGCTGTGTCAAGTCACACATTTATCAACTTAATGAAGATTTCTACTTTGGTGCATGATTTATAGTTTTCTTTTCAATAAATGTTTATTGGTTTTTCAATACTTCAGGTACAAAATACAAAGTGGACCAGTTTTTAAAGACAAATGGAATTACAGCCATAAACCGTAGTGTACAGCGGTTTTGCGTGTGTGAAGTATAGCTTAAGTAAATAATGATTCAGATAGCTTGTCCAAGAATAGAGGTAGAACAAACATTTTGTGTTGGACAGGTAAATGGTGTTTTAATAGGTTGTATGACTATATTTCAATGACCGACATCCGTGAAATAAACTATATCGGTGGAGGTATGTTAAAATGCTAGCAAAATATGAGATGTATAGATATCTCATGGTTCAAGAGGCTTCCCTGCGGAGGAGCTGAAAAAAAAAACAGAAATCGAAAGAGAGAGAAGAACAGAGACAAGTAAAGAACGGATGTTCACAACGCCTAAATGCAGTCAGATATAGTCAAGTCATAGTGAAATAAAGCTATTTACTGAGATTTCTGGGTGGGCGTATTAAATCCACGGAGTCCAAGTTTTAAAGAATTTCTTGTGGGTGTCTGAGAGTATACTAGCCAGTTTTGCATTTATTAAAAAGAAGTCAAGGCAACGGTGAAATTTTTATACAAAAGGTACAAACTGCTGCTTCCAGGCCTTCGCTATGGTTTGTTTAGCCATCAGTAGCACTAGAGTGGCTAGTATATATTGTGTTTAGATATACCTGGAGGTTTTAAATGTAGGATAGTGTACCATGGGTCTCTTGGAAAGGGTAAATGAGTAGGGATTTAG